TTCTGGCGAGGCACCGCGTAAATGAGAAATCGCGGAAAGTGAAACCGCGTAAACTGGGGCAATACTGTATAACTAACCCCAGTGGTTAATATGTACTGTATTTTTGGTGTTTTTTATATCATTATTTATTGTTTTTATACATTTAGTACATTAACCGGAGGATTGGGACAATCACCTTTTACAGACAGGTGGTCCCCCCTTTAGCCCAGATCTCCCAGGGTTTACTGTACAGGTAAAAGAAATAATTGTCCTAAGGTCAAACACATAAAGGTAATATACATTTCTTTGTACAAAAGTAAAAATGTGATTGGCGGCCATATATAGAACTCAACACCTGCAAATTTGAAGGGCCTACTGTACAGTACAGTATAGTATCAGGGAACAAAATAACCATTGCATGTTGATGGTAGGAAGGGGAGAGGAAGACTGAGTCTTGGACATACTGTACAGTACAGGGAGTCCCCGGGTTACGAATGGGTTCCCTTCCGCATGACGTTCATAAGTTGGGTTTGTACCTTAGTTGGAACACATGCTATGTGCATACTGTACTTACAGAACAATGTTTAAAATCACACTACAGTGACCCCTCGTTTAACGAACGCCTCGGTTAACGAAATTTCGGTTAACGAACTGCCTTCCATAAGGATCTTCAATTCGGTTAACGAAGTTCTTACGAACCGACCTCAACATGTTTTCGCTTGCACTGACCGGGCAACCAGCTTTAGTATCAGTCCGCCAATACATTAATCGGTTCTAGGACTTAAATTCCTTACTATTTTATAATTTTAAAAGTTTAATATTAAATTTTTTAGTCATTTTAACAATTATTGAACATAATTGAAGGTAAAGTGACTAGTTTAATGCGCTGCATCCAGCCTCTTAACACAGCAAACAGGCGTTAGTCTCTCTCTGTTTTCACTGGAGGTAACATCTTGCTTGAGACTCTTCAACTAAACGCTTTTTCTCTGTGTTTCCAAGCAAATTATTGGTCATTTTGAAATATATTTTACATATTGACAATATATAATGCAGTGCAGTGTTGATTTAAAGAAAATAATCTTGAATTACACCAAGAGAGCTAAAATTTTATGGGTGAAATGGCCATGGGGGTTACTTCTCTTCCACCCCAATGCCTTCTCTTCTTCCTTCTCCTCCACCCCCATTCTAAATCCCATCATCATCATCATCCAGGTTTTCTACATACACACCTCAAAGTAAGTGAACTTTTCTACCATTTTTGTTGAATTTAGGAAATTTTCGGTGAGCTGGAACCAATTACCCAAAAACCCATTGAAACAATGGTTTCGGTTAACGAACTCTTCGGTTAACGAACGACCTTCTGGAACGGATTGAGTTCGTTAACCGAGGGGTCACTGTACTGTATATCATAGCCTGAGTCCTTATACACAGTAGGACCTTCAAATTTGCGGGGGTTAGGTTTTATAAATGGCCGCGAATGACATTTGCTGACTGGAGGGGGGGTATTACCTTTATGTGTTTGACCTTAAGACAATTATTTATTTTACCTGTAGTATTTTACATATGAGTGTGTGTGTGTGTGTGTGTGTCACATACAAATAAATAATAATGGGAAACTACTCTCACAAATAATCAGAAAAAATTATTAAAAATGTTGAGTCTATCCTCAAGTCTACTGTGTGCTCTGTTATTAATAAAGCACACAGTAGACTTTAGCTACACTCACATTTTAATACTTTTTTTCTGAGTATTTGTGAGAGTTGTTTCCCATTATTATTTATGTGTACAGTGGACCTCGGTTAACCAGCACTATCCGTTCCAGAAGGTCGTTCGTTAACCGAAAAATTCGTTAACCGAAACCATTGTTTCAATGGGTTTTTGGGTAATTGGTTCCAGCTCACCGAAAATTGCCTAAATTCAACAAAAAAGGTAGAAAAGTTCACTTACTTTGAGGTGTGTATGTAGAAGGCTCCTTGATGATGATGGGAATTAGAAAGGGAATGGAGGAGAAGGGAGAAGAGAAGGCATTGGGGTGGAAGAGAAGTCACCCCATGGCACCATTTCACCCATAAAATTTTAGTTCTCTTGGTGTAATTCAAGATTATTTTCTTTAAATCAACACTGCACTGCATTATATATTGTCAATATGTAAAATAAATTTCAAAATGACCAATAATTTGACTGGAAACACAGAAAAAAGTGTTTATTTTGAAGAGAGTCTCAAGCAAGATGTTACCTCCACTGAAAAGTCACAGAGACTGACGCCTGTATGGTGTGTTGACAGGCTGGATGGCGCGCTAAAAGTAGTTTCCCTGTACTTAAATAATGTTAAATAATTGTTAAAATGACTTAAACAAATTAATATAAGACTTTTAAAATTATTGAATAGGACAAACACCCACAGACAGACAATACAGGTAAAGGAAATTACTGTCTCTACAACGAATGGCTCCCTGTCCTGACCACGAAAATACCAGCAAATTTGAAACTACCCACAGACATTCTTGGGTACATCCAGGGTGTCGTCCGCTAATAATAGAGGACCGCGAACTAAAAATCTGTGAATTATCCGGGTGTACTGTACATCTAAAATGACTTAATTTGAGACAAAAGAAGAAATAGAATGACACAATACAGTTAATGGAAGTTAAAAATAAGTCATGAGGTAAATATAACACTTTAAATCTCAAGTACTGTATAACCTTGGGTGTTGAGTCTGGGGCCCCCTGTAGGGTGGTCTGGTACATGTGGCAACTATGTGTTTGTTTACAGTGTTTTAAAATTCCCTAAGGAACCTTATAATAGTAACCAGAGCTAGGCGGCTGGATAAGCACTTCATAGTGTTGTCACAAAACACACTAGTGCCCTCTCTTCTCTCTCTCTCTCTCTCTCTCTGGTGTGATGCATCTAGTGTGGCAGCATTATGTTAGTGTTAAGGTACAAGCACTACTTGCTCCCTTTTGGCTGCCCCCACTAGCTAGCCCTCGCGGTCAACACACTCCTGTCACCCTAGTGTCCATAAACGTGAGGAACTTTCACCCGGTTATCCCCCAGTATTTCACTCTACACCGCCATTTTTCTAACCCTTCATTAACTCTAAAGTATTTTGCTTCTCAAATTATTCATCGGTCTCTTTTATTTCTGCAGGAGGCTTACTGTGACGTGACTCTGGCGTGTGATGGACGGTTTTATCCGGTACACAAGCTGGTCCTCTCCACCTGCAGTGATTTCTTTGATCAGATGTTTGAGAAGACTGCCTGCAAGCACCCAGTAGTAGTGGTGGCTAATGTAGCACACAATGACCTGGAGGCACTACTCAACTACATGTACCTGGGCGAGGTCAACGTCCTCCAGACCGAGCTCTCCGCACTCATGAAGGCCGCCGAGGCACTCAAGATTAAGGGCTTGGCCGAATCCTCCAAGCGCTCTCCTTCAAAAGACTCCCGAGAGGGCAAGAGGTCGTCGTCGTGGGAGGGAGAGTTACCCGACGGTAAGAGGAGGAGGCCGGAGGAGACTCCGGCGCCCAAACGTAGCCGATCTCCGAGCGCCGAGAGCGAGAGAACGACAAATACCAGAGACTCTCAAAAGCCAAGAATAGCCGTCGGCGATTCTCAAACTTCGAGGCTCAACGTACAAGGTCCGCCGAGTTGTGGCAGCAGCTCCAGCAACTCGGGTCCTCCATCCTCCACAGAGCCAATAAGTCACCCAGTGAGACAAGACATGGCAGCATCTCCTCAAGTTGATACAGATCATGAGGCTGGTGACAAGGCTCTTAGATCAGAGGTAAGTCATCCCTACCTTACTAACACAACACTTGGGACATCACTCACGGTTATTAACATGGCTGAATCTTTGTCTCGTGTAATAAATAACAGCACTAGAACCTCTATACTGTACACAGGAATTAGCTTTGTTCTGACTGTGGTGCTCTGGACTGCTCCTCCCTTACCCACAAATATTTTAAAAACTCCAGAAAATCCAGCATCAGTTGGGTAGTTTGTACGTGGGTCTTGTGTCTACAGAATTTCTTCAATACAAAATTCTTATGTTACCTTTTTTATTAAGGAGCATACACTGCACTGTACATCCCTTGGTGCCTTAATAATAATACTGGAATCTGGACAGCTAGTTTTGGAGGAGGCAGAGGCTGCCCAGATCCTGTCACAAAACAAATAATATTTTATGAATGCTACTCATAAAATATATTTATTAATACAATACTGTACAGTATAGTGAAAATTCTCAGATTTTGTGAAGATATTATGATACTCTCAAGATTAAAAGAGTCCTGATGTCAACAAATGTGGTGGTAGCTCGTGACTGTATCATAGCTAACTTGGACCATAGCTTTGATACTATAGTGGTCCCTTGGTTAACGAACACAATTCGTTCCAGAAGGTCGTTCGTTAACCGAAAATTTTGTGAACCGAAACCGTTGTTTCAATGGGATATTGGGTATTTGGTTCCAGCTCACCGAAAAGTACATACAAAGTAAAAAAAAAATGCAGTAAAGTACACTTACTTTGAGGTGTGTATGTAGAAGGCTCCTGGTTGATGATGATGGGAATTAGAAGTGGGGGTGGAGGAGAAGGGAGAAGAGAAGGAAGTGTGTGGAGGAGAAGGAGAAGAGAAGGGCGGGGTGGAAGAGAAGGAGAAGAGAAGGAAGTGGGGTGGAGGAGAAGGAGAAGAGAAGAAGGGGTGGAGGAGAAGGGAGAAGAGAAGCAGCGGGGGTGGAGGGAGAAGAGGGAGAAGAGAAGGAAGTGGGGGTGGAGGAGAAGAGGAGAAGAGAAGAAGTGGGGTGGAGGAGAAGGAGAAAGAGAAAGGAAGTGGGGGTGGAAGAGAAGGGAGAAAAGATGGAAGTGGGGATGGAGGAAAAATTACCTTTCAGGGGACCCATGCTTGATGCCGTCATTTCACCAATAAAATTTTAAGTTCACTTGGTGTAATTCAAGATTATTTTCTTTAAATCAACACTGCACTGCATTATATGTTAACTAAAGTTCAGAATGACCAATAATTTCAATGAGAAATTTAAAAATATTCAAGACAGCAACAAAATAGGTGTTCACTCCACTGTCAACAGAGCCCAACTGACGCCTTGTATCCGACTCGCGCATCAGATGGGCGCAGTACAAACTAGTTCCCTGTACTGCATATATTATCAGTATGTTAAATAAATGTTAAAATTACTAATAATTTTAATATAATACATTAAAAAATATTAAAAAGCTGAAATTAAATGATATTTAATCCATTGGAAACGAATTTAAACTTAGAACAGATTACTGAATTAGCAGACTGGGCCATCAGCTGACCAGCTGATGCTCACAACAAAACGTGATTTTTGTAAGGATTTCGTTAATCAAATTTTTTTTCGTTAACCCAATTGAAGATTCTTATGGAAGGTATTTCGTTAACCGAGGCGTTTGTTAACCGAGGGACCACTGTATAAGGTACAGTAACTGTACATAAAGTTGAAGGCAACCTGGAGGTTCACCGTGTTCTGGGGTCGGTAAGCCAGTGTATTTGGCGAGTTGTCCGGTCTTCTTGGACTATTCCTTGATACAGTCACTCCAGTGCCAGATTTAGACCTGTGGAGGCCCATGGGCAGCCTCTTTGTGGAGGCTCCCCTCATTATAACTACCCAAGAGGGTGGGGTGGCGAGTGAAGCGAGTCTAAACATCTGGGAGTTCCGGGGGGCGCTGTAAGACCCCCGGGAAAATTGTGAAATTTGAACACTTCTTTGGAGAATTTTGAAGTCATATGCAGTTATATTGAGGAAATTAGAACATTGAGAAATTTTTAATTAACTGTATATTTATTGATAGTGTACAAATTCCCAACACACACACACACACACACACACAAAAGTGAGACATGACTGGAGTCATTCATGTGGTTTCAAGTCAACCAGCCCTGATATAGCTACTACCGCACATGTGGAGGCCCCCAGATTGTGGAGGCCCCTGGGCAGCTGCCCACTTTGCCCGCTCCTGAATCCGGTCCTGAGTCACTCATCGACTTACGACAACCCGGACTTACGACGGTCATTGTCGTTACATTATATTCAAATATTTTACGATATTTTCGAGTCTAGACTTTGGGTTGTTATGTCTAACGATTCCTTACGACAACTTCGGCTGGCACGCTGCCGCGTGTGTACAGCATCCACGCCAAATCCCGCTCAGTTTGTGTATTAAAACGGTGAAAGTTTTATTATTATTACCTGCACAGTAGAATGTCAATTTAAAGCGAATCAATGTAAGGTTATTGATTTAAAGCGAC